TTGTCAAAAAATCCACTGTAGAATAAATAAGCAAAACTTTTAGAGTAAAAAAAAAATCTACATTAGCATATATAGACAAAACTTTTAGAGCCAAAAAACTAACTGTAGCGTATCTAGTCAAAACTTTTAGTCAAAATATTTACTATAGCATATATAGTCAAAAGTTTGAGTAAAAAAAATCTACTGTAGCGTATATAGGCAAAACTTTTACAGAAATTTTACTTTAGCGTATATAGGCAAAACTTTTACAGAAATTCTGCTTTAGCGTATATAGGCAAAACTTTTAAAGTAAAAAAAACTACTGCAGCATATATAAGCAAAACTTAAAAAAAAAAAAGTACATTAACATATTTAGTCAAAACTTTTAAAGTCAAAAAATCTACTATAGCGTATATAGGCAAACTTTTAGTATAAAAAATCTACCCTAGTGTATATAGGCAAAACTGTGACAAATTTTTTTTTACTGTAGCGTATATAGGCAAAACCTTTAGAAATCAGAAAATCAAACGTAGCATATATAGGTGTATTTTCGCCTGTATGTAAAGACATTAATTACCATCCATAATTCAACACTATTGCGTCTCTGGTCTAAATGTGCTTTATGGGATGTTGTTCTGTGAATGCTTACCTTTCAAAACAAACCACGATTTACAACAATGTATGCATGTGTGTCTTGTTATCATGATGTATGTACTCCAACCAAGCATGTTCTGACATGTGTACTCCTGAAGATTCACTAACCTATTATGATACAAAACAATCAGAAAGGTTTTAATATTGTAAATAAAATTCAATACCTTGCGTCATCTCATCAATTAGCTACATCAGACATCTTACAGTATCTTTAGAAGCCAATCGCTGCTTGAGGGTTGTAGCTTTAGACTGATGTATAGTTTGTTAAGATTACTCCTGTTAACACTGATATATTCAATAACGCTGCTTCTTACGTCCTGACCGGGCTAAGAACAAATGATGGAGAATAAAATTATGTAGTTTTCATTTTTGGGTGAACTATCCCTTTAAAAAGACCTCAACATATCATCAGGAGCCGTATTTTGTTTTGTCTTAGTTTTGTATTGCTTTTATTTCTCTGTATTGAATTTCATTTTTTAAATCACCAAGGACTTGAGTTGTAGCTCATTTTAATCTACACGGATGCCAAAAGTGATGTCAAAGTAGCTATCAAATTGCTCTACCTTCGACCTCGAACATCCCAGCATGAAGGAAAGCAGTTACAATTCAGCTGCTTTCTAAGCATCTAAGAACATGACATTTTCTATTATGCATAGCAACTTTGTTTCCCCCCACCCTTTCGTTCTGTTTATTTATATCTCATCTAGCATAGAACACAGAGAGAGCGCTGACAGGATTGTTTCATTTGCGCTCGGACCCCTTCATGCCAACTGTCTCATCTATCATCTGAAATGATATATGAGCGCGCGTGTCTGCACTCGTGTGTATTGCATTGTCGCCATTGTGGCCGTGTCACATTCATTTGTTTAAAGGCCCCCTTTCGTCCGCGGACAGAGACGGATAGTGGTGCTTAATTTTCTTTACACAAGATTTCCACTCACGGGTGGGTGGCAGCGTTGTGTCTGGCTCGACGGCCGGTCATAGTTATGATGGTTATTAATATCTCAGTTCGCTCTTTTAATCTGGCCTATCTGTCACATGCGCGGCGACTGCTCCATCTAATCTGAGAATCCTTCAATCTGTCCCCGCTCTGATTGGAAATTAATGAAGGCGAGAGATGTGTGTGTTTAACCGCGTCTTTCTCGTTCTGTTATTGCTCATGGACGCAGATGTGTAGCCCTTTTCTGTGAGCTCCACGTCGACTCTTTGAGAGCTGCACCTGTGTAGCCTAATCCAGTCATGAGTGCGTTGTTTACTCACGATTGTTCGGTGCATTTGAAAGTGTAGCTTTGATCCATGCAAAGATTTTTCACTTTTTTTTTTACTCTCTTCCTTTCCAAACTGCTAATGTGGTTTCTACTTAAAGCAATGAGGGGTTTGCTAGAGGAAGGGAGGGTTGGGTTTGTGTTTTGTTCATTGTTTTTTTGTTTTTTGACCCTTGGGATGTGAATATGACAGTGACCAGACAGACTTGTCAAACGCCGTGTATGGGATGTTTATTTAAGTGCGAGCGTGTAAATGGGTGTACGTCTGTGACAGATGAAGTGTGTTTGTAAGCGAGCAGCTGAATATTGCATGTGCTGATCGAGCTCGGCTTGATGCGGCATGCTGGGATATGCAAAATATTTAAGACAGCGTGTTGGGGAGAAGGAGATGTAGTTTGAGATCCCCCCAGACAGCAGTGATCAGGGTTGAAGCTAGACTTGGTACATGAGCCGGGGTTTTAGAATGTAGTGCTTAATTTTTTTTTAACTAAAGATCTCACTATCGCGTTTCTGGGAAAAATAAAAAAAGATTATCTGTATATCCGTCAAGATGAAAAATTTGAGACAACACTCTTTTTCTTTTCACTTTTTATACATTGTGTTTGCAATCTGAAATCTGTAGAACTTTAAAACAAAATATATCTTTGAAGGTTGTTTTCCTAATGCACTTGCCACTAAATGTCAGTTTCTATAGTACCAATTTTTTTTTTATATGCTGAAAGTTTTTTTTCTAAATGTTCATATATGTATTCATATAACAATCAGCTGATTTATTTAATAATATTACATATAAAATACAATTCCTTACATTTATGTAGCCTTTTCTGGACACTCAACTCATTTTCTATATGTTCAGTTTTTTCCCCCTCAGATTAAAAAATACTGGACACAATGATTAATATATAAACAAAATGATTATTGTATAAAAAATATGCAACATCTCTAACTGCAGTTTTATTAGCTTTATTTATTTAAGGTTAGTTTAAGGATAATGCTTATTTTTTACACTTTATATAATTACTGTTATAATTAGTATTTACATCAAAAACAGGAAAATAGAGTGCAATCAAAAAGGTCAATATTCACTTTTTTTTTTTGGGCCATATTCTCATGCAGGGCCTACAACTAATGTCCTGCCACATCTGCCAATAGGCTTTTGTGTTTCCTGGCCATAAATAAATTTTAAATAGTAAATGATTAACGTTTAAACAAAATATTTAAAAACGTAACCGCTTTTTTATTCGCTTTATTTATTTATTTATTTATTTATTTATTTATTTATTTATTTATTTATTTATTTATTTATTTATTTATAACAGAGGCAGCATTTTTCGTTTTGCCTTCAAATGCTACTGATGCTAATGCTAGTGATTCTGGTCAGTTTTGAGTACTGTTTACATCTTTCAAACTAATGGAGAACAACATTTTAAAAATTTACATTTACCTATTTTTCTTATTATAGTTTGTGCTTGCAATCTGTAGATTTTTAAAACAAAATATATCTTTGAAGGTTGTTTTCCCCATGCACTAGCCAATAAATGTCTATTTCCATAGTATCATTTTTTATTTTTTTTATATACGCTAAAAGTTTTTTTTAGTCATGTGTTCATATAACAGTCACTTGATTTATTTAACTTTAAGTTGCTAATATATTCTGTTGTTTTCCCTTAGTTTTAAACTACTGGACGCAAAAGTATGTTTTAAACTACTGGTTATTATGTTTTGCCTTTATCACCTTGCATACACTTTTAGGAGTTCATTGATTAAATGTGTTCATTGTAGTTTGTTTGCATGTTTTTAACAGTTTAAAGTAAGTAATTAAATGGACTGGATCTTATATATATGTTTTTTTACACTCACCTAGATCATGCTTAGCAAAAATGTAGAAAAGATTTGGGTTGCACGTTTGTTTCACAGTACATGTAATTATTGTGCACTTACAGTGCACTTGTCTTAGAAACTATTGTGTTATATAGGGTAACTACATGGTTTAAGGTTATTTTTAGGGTTAATACTTAGTTTTTACACAATTTATATAATTACTGTTATAACTACGCAGTATTTACATCTAAAACAGCAAAATAGAGTACAATCTAAAAAGGTCCAGTGTTTTTTGTTTTTTTTTTTTTTTTCAAAAATAGATTTTTTGAAAAAAAAAATATCAATATTCTCAATATTCTTTTGCAGGGCCTACAACTAACATCTTGCCACATGTATCAATGGGCTTTTGTGTTTACCAGCCATAAATATATATTATATATGTATTTTAAACAGTAATAATTAATGTATAAACAAAATATGGAGGAAAAAAAATAACTGCAGTTATATTAGCTTTATTTATTTATTTATTTATTTATAACAGGAGCAGCTTTTTTGCTTTACCTTCAAATGTTACTGTAAAACTATTACTCTGACAGAAAATCACAGTGAATCTTCTTTTTTTTTTTTTTACTTTTTGACTACAGATTTTTAAACCAATAGAATCTGGAAAAGTTTTTTGGCACCTGTGACATATTCAAGAGTACATTTTAAGTGACTCAAACTCACAGCAGTTACAGAGATGGAGTTCATGTGGAGCAGTATTTATTCCAATCTGAGCTGTTTTTACTCAAATTCAGCACTTTATAAGTGTTCATTTTAGCTCCTGGTCTAATTTATGTAAATTGCAGCTTACCCTAAAGTAAGTTTGTAATAATGTAGCTGTCCATTATTCATTGTGGAGAATCCATGTAAAAAAATAATAATAATAATTTAAAAAAAAACTTTTTGAAAATTTGAAATATTTGTCTCAAATTCAATTCATACAATGGAAAAAAAAAATTGGATTTATTAAATGTGTTTAAGGTAAGTGCTTGCAAACCATTTATATGGGCTGAACTTAAATTAAGTTGAACTTTATTAATTTTAATTTGTTTGTTTGAATTCAGCCCGTATAAGTTGTTTGCAACTACTTAAACAAATTTAATAAATCCAATGAATATTGATTTTTTTTCAGTGCAGGAAGTTTTCTTTTGCATTGATTCCTATTCAAATAATTGGATTTCGCACACAAAAATGTGTAGTATTCTATTATCCTATCTCAACCTGTTTCTTCTTTTTCAGAGCAAGTTGGACAGGAGATCCTCGCCAACCTGCACAGCGATCGTGAGAAGATTCAGAGATCCCGTGATCGGGTGAGTTTACACCCACAAACACACTTGAAGAACTCAGGCCTCTGGAGGCTACACTCAATCACAACAACAACAAAAAAAACACACTTTCTTTTATCACCAAGCAATTACACAGGCTTACAAATACTTGACTTGTCTCTATGGGATGACTCAATGTGCCCTAGATCAGACACTTGAGTAGAGAACTGGAGCACACTCGAGAGTCGGCAGTTAACACCAGCTCGCACCTCTCGCACATTAGCATAGCCGGCCTGCTGGAGTGATTGATTGAATGTACAGAGCACAGAATGTCCGACACGGAGCACACCACCAATAAGATGTCTTTGTAGTCGTCCCGTCTCATGCGGTGAGGTCACGCATGATGCAAGACTGTCTAAACTGGCATAGATGAACAACAAAAACACCTCCAGACAGAACCAGTGTTTGTTCTCTGTTCGTCCAGCTGCTGTAAACTCTGCAAGTGTTTCCGCATGCTTACATGTTTGACTGTGCTGGACGGATGTCACAGATGGGATTGTATATTTCAGACTGATGAAAATGTGATGACCGACCAACCAACATATCTACAAACCAACCGACCAACCAACCAACCAATCAATCAACCAACAAACAAACCAACCTACCAAACAAACCTATCGACCAACAAATCAAACTGACCTTAACTAACCAACCAACCAAACCGACCTAAACCGACCAACCAACAAACAAATAAACTAACCAACAATTCAACACACAAAAAAAAACAAAACCTACTTGCTTTCCTTACTTTTTAAAAAATTAGTTGTGTTTGAAAAAAAGCCCACCAAGATCGACATCTTTAGATGTTGTTATTATTATTAATTATGTGTATGTCTGTTTAAACTTGCTCCCAAAACCCAGACTTTTGCTCCGCTTCAAATTGCGTGTACAGAATACAGAATGGGAAGTAGCCTCTATTTATCACTTTGGAGCGTATCAGCTGATAGTCACGCACTGCTACATGACTGTTTTGAGGATTGCATAAGAGGGGAAACTGCACCTGTAATGAAAAGGAAGGGAATCGCGCCATTTTTTAAATTTGTTTTAAAGTGTTTTTATGCCTAAACATAACTTAAGCACAGAACAGACTCACATTTAAAAGCAGGATATTTCCACTGGTGTTTCGGTGGGTATTGGTTGCATATAGGGAGGATCAGCTTTTAAATGTTTATTATCACTCTTTATAGAAAGATTAAAAATATGAGAGAAATACAGGAAAATACCTTCACAGGATTATAGTGGGATAGAATGGTAAAATACAGGAAAATCTCAGGAAAAATGGGAGGGTTGACGGGTATATACCAAACAAACCTACCAACCAACAAACAAACCGACCAGCCATTAAACCATCTTAAACCGACCAATCAACCAAACCAACCTAAACTGACCAACCAACAAACAAATAAACTAATCAACAAACAATCTAACCAACAAATCAACAAACAAACAAACAAACAAACAAACCTACCAAACAAACCTACTAACCAGCCAACCAAACTAACCGACCAAACAGACCAACCAACCAAACAGACCTAAACCAAACAACAAATCAACAAACAAATAAACCAACCAACAAATCAACAAATCAACAAACACATAAACAAACCAAGAAACAAATAAATAAAACAACATACTTGTAGTTGTTTAAATATATAAAAAGTTTATACAAAGCAATAATTTCAATGTAATAAATTTGTAAAAGATGTCATACACAGTTAAATATATTTTAAATGATTTAAAACTTCTTGCTGATGAACTGGTTTTGGTTTGAAGGATAATGACAAAGTATAATTATACAAAATAAATGATTGTGTATTTTGTTATCTGTAAATCATGGTAAAAGTGAATGACAGTCAATATTTTTGCTTAGATGCTCAGATCAAATAATAAACAAAAGAGACGCAATCTAATGTACAAAATACGTTAAGTCTGTATTATACTTTTCCTTTATGCTTAAAACCTTTTTTCTTCTTTTGACCCATGTACAGTATATAAAATATTATTTCAAAAGCTATTTTTACCCAGCCATATAAGTAACCATCAGAGCAATAAAGACATAAGTATACCATGCTAAGATTGAAAGGTGATGATATAGAGGACTGTTGTGAGCTTTTTTGAGTGTCACTCCTCCTACCAGGTATCAAATGTCTCTCCCTATACTCTCATCCCTTTTCTACTCCCCCCTCCTTACTTCAACCTTTATTTGCTACTTTATCCTCTGCATGTCTAATCATTTTTACCTTTCCATATCTCAATCCGTCCCTACTGTTTTGTTTGTCCCTGCCGTGTCCTCTGTCATAGTGCAACCTCTCTCTCTTTTTCCCCTCTCAACCTCTCTTTCTTTCCAGAAAACAGGTATAGAGAGCTCAGTCAGGGGCCTCTCTGATGGCTTCTTATGAAGGATGCTTAAAGATCACAACATGGCAGTTGGGCAGGCAGCTCATTTCAAAGGAAATAAAACATTTCCTTTCAAAGGTCTGCTGTCTATGGAGAATAGCTCTCCTTCCCTGGAGCCCCGACTGGCCCTCACACTTTAAAGACATTTTGCCGGGCAGGAAAAATGGAGAGGAGAAAAGAAAAGAAAGCATGATAAGAAGACATTAGATGGAAAGAGCAATAAACTGCTTTTTTGAGTGAAGGAAACGGCAGATGAAAGAGTTTTGGAGTGTCTCTTAACAATCAGTTCGCTCCGTCTCTTTCAAGCAGATGCACACAAACACTAAGAGAAGTAGTGCCTTGCAAGCACCACTATTGCTCTTGCTCATCTTCTGTATATATGAGCAAATCTCTAACCCTGACTTTGACGCATAACTAAATAGTGCTATTAATGTTGTTATCAGTCAGGCTAACATTTTTACATATTAAAATAAGTGGAAAGATCCTATTCTAAATGTCCATAAACAGTGATTAAGGAACATTGTATAAAGAATGTGTCTTTTCTTTTAAAAGAAAAAGAGCCTCCTCTGCCATGTTGTTTAAAATAAAAAAATGGTTATCATGTCAACTTGATAACCAGTGTTAATAACCAACACTGCTTTGGAACTGATATTGATGATTCGAGCTGCGTCTAACAGTTTAAATACTTTTAACTTGGTCACAATTTTGTAAAATGCGCCATTCATGTGTAATAATACTTTTAGAACATTAGTAAAGCAAGGCAATTTAATAATATAATAATAAAATAATATTATTTATATTGCATTTTTTAGACACAATGGTAACTCAAAGTGGTTTAAATAACCAGGAATAAAAAAGACAATTATAAGAAAATAAAAACAACAAATAATAAAAATGATTAAAAACACATAAAAACTAATTCAAATGTGTTAAAACAGGTTATAAAAGAATAAAAAGTAAAGAAAGACATAATAATGTGATCTGTTTGGCATAACACTGTGCTCATTCAGTAAAGGCACATCTAAACAGATGAGTTTTAAACCTTGATTTGAACATGCCCAATGTTGGAGCACATCTGATCATTTATGGGAGCTAATTCCAGCAATGGGGGCTGTAATAGCTGAAGGAAGGCAGATTCACCCTACTTTAACTGAACCCTTTGACTTTTTAATTTATTTGATCCGAAAGTTCTTGAGTGATCTGTTCTTGAGGTTTGTATTCAGTGAGCATATCTGCAATGTATTGAGGTCCAGGGCAATTTAGTGATTTCTAGACAAGTAGTCATACTTTAAAATCTATTCTGAATTTAACTGGGAGCCAGTGTAAAGACCTGATGACAGGTGTAAAGTGCTCTGATTTTCTGGTTCTGGTCAGAATCCTGGCAGTGAAGTTCTGGATGACCTGCAACTGTCTGACTGTATTTTTGAGAAGGCCAGAGAGGACTCCATTACAGTAATCCTCTCTGCTGGTGATAAAAGCATGAGTTTCTCTAACTGCTAAGTCCTCACTGGAAACAAAAGCAGTTAGCAGTGAGAATTATATCTGTTATATAATTATATAATCTATTATATAATTATAACTGTGTTGTTTTTGTTTTCGTTAAGTTTTGCACCTCAAAAGCACGTGATGCAACTGTAGAAGGAGTTAAAACTCACTTTTAAGTGGGGAAGAAAGAGGTCAAAACCAGCGAATTTTTAAAAACTTATGCAAACTCCATACAGAAATGCCAGCTGAGGCTTAAACCAGCGACCTTCTTGTTGTGAGGCTATCGTACTACCCACTGCGCCACCGTGACGCCCTGTTTAACAAAATTTAATCATAAAATAAACACAAAACATAAATATCCACCCGGAGCTTCTCCCTTGACACTCGACACTTGTTCTGAGTATCCTATCCCATGGCTATTGGCGCCGCTCACACTCATTACCGATACCTAGCCGACCAATCACAGATCTTGCACTCTGCATCGTTGTGAGATGTAATTCGATTTTTTGAGAGGTGTGTGTCAGGATCCGCAATAGGGTATGGCATGGTATGCGACTGTATAATCATATACACGATATAATCATCATTTGTATTGCTATTTAATTAATTTATAGAAGGCAACATTTTAAATAGACCAAAAGTTGTTTAATATGGTCACATGACAGGAGAAAACCTCTGCCTCATTGGTCAGAAAGTTTGTGTGGCATTATTTGGCAATAATTGAAATTCTTAAATATGTTAAATTCAAAGCAGCAGTTCTTAATTTTACAAAAACATTAAAATGAATAATAATAAATAAATATTTTCCACCCCCTTTGGGTTGTTTTTAGTTCATGGTTTGATTTCTTTGTTCTAAAACAGACAATACTTGTTATAATGTTGCTTTTTCTCAACTGCTTAATTGACTTTAACAGCACAAAATTTCTAAATCACATGGGAGGAAACTGCCTCTCCATTGGTCAGTTTGCTATTTAAAATTTTGAGGGTTTATTTTAAAGAGGAATTTAGGAATATCAACATTGTCTGCGCAAATGGTGTAGTCGCTGGTGTGTTCACAGCGACCTGAGTTTGTTTCTCGCCTTGAGGTCCTATGCCGATCCTTCCCCTTTCTCTGCTCCCCATGCTTTCCTGTTTATACTGTCCTATCAATTAAAGGTGAAAACCCCTAAAAATCTATTTTTAAAAAAGAATGTCAACATTGTTGGATATCCAAGTTGGACATCCAAGGAAGGTTTCAATGAGGCATTCTACCAACTTCAAGATTCATTTGATGTTTCAATGTGGTTTTCTTTGTTCCCGAAAAAGAGACTTAATACAATTCAAGTATTACAATTTTTTCATGTTACCCTGCAATTTGATTTAAGCCACATGTCAAAACAGACAGAAAAGTGTCACTTGGGAGCAAATTGCCTTCTCAATTATCATCTTAATTCTAGGGTTTAGCTCAAAGCTACATTTCCAAATGTCAAGTTTTTTTGTTGTTTTTAATTTTTCAAGATAAGTGAAAACTTGTTTGTTTTAAATACTTTGTTGTCCCTATAACATGACAAGACAATTGAGAACAAGCCCTAAATTTGTTATCCATTTGAGCTTGAATCATTTAAATATTATCAGAGGTCCCAAAAGATTCAGAAAATTTTAAGAGGCATGTTTTGATTACTGAAACAATGGCAAACTTTATAAAATATAAACATTAGTCTTGTTAAATGGGTAATATTCCTTTTTCTGGTTATGCTGTGGCTTGTTTTTTTTTTCCTCATATATTCATGTAGTTTTAGGCCTGCATTGCTGTGGCTCTTTTAACCTCATTCAGTGAATTTCAGTCATTGAATCGAGCTCCCGGGAATCGTCTTACTAGAAGCATTTACTTGTCTGTAATCAGACTCTGCTCTAGATCTGCTCTACTGGTAATCTCTTTTATTGTGGCTCTTGTTTTGGGTCGGGTAATTCACGGTGAGCTCCACCATGTGTTTTCGTGCTGGCACAACTCCTGACCTGAGAGAGAAAGAGAAAGGGATTTTGGGAAAAGCCGAGGGAGCTCTCGTGGGACGGATCCATCGTTGAGAGAGACATCAGGCAGCTCTCGGGCTGTTGGTGGTGCCAGAACCCAAACCCGCCTAAAACCACATCTGTCCCTGAGCCTGCTCGCTAACTCTCTCTCTCACACACACACACACTTATATATACACTCACATATACACACGTCCCCACTGACTGTAAGGACAGAGAAGTAGGCTTTCTCAAGGAGGCCAGCCAGAATCATGTATCTGACGGCTGCCAGAGCTCTGGCTTCACTTCCATAGCAATGTCAGCATTCCTAAACACACACACACACACACACACACACACACACACACACACACATGCACACACGCACATGCACAAACATAGACACATCTCCAGATGGATGGCTTTTTCTTATGCTTCCCGCTATGTGAACTGTATGTTGAATGTAAGACATTTACAGTACACATTTGAATCTGAAGGAACGTTTTTTATCTTGGAAAAATATGACCATACTGTAAGTAGCAGCAAAATTACATTGTTGAGAGAAAAATAGAACTAAACAAAACATAAACAAAAAAAATAAATAAATAATGACGAAAACGCTAACATTCAAATAAAAAACAAAAAAACTCATTCTAACAACGCTATCTTGTGGCAATTAGTAACTTTTTAATTTACTGGCTAATTAATAACAATTTGTTTGATCTCAGTCATACAATTTAGTAAGAATTGCTCATCCCTCAATGACGGTTGGGTTTAGGGATGGGGCTTGGTGACTCGCCTCCTTTTTAAAATATCTTAATAACTCATGAATTCATACATGTAGGTATATAGCCACTAAACTAACAAAATGTAAAATAGTTCCGTTTTCCTCATGAGATTAGGCCAAGATCAAGCTGTTATTAAAAATCAATACTAAAACAACACTCTTATAAATACAAATGCAAAAAGAATTACATGGCTACACACCATGTTTACAGTTAGTGTTACTAGTAAATCAATGGTAAATGTTAGTGATTTGCAGTGATGGGAATAACGGCACTATAAAAAATGGCGTTACTAATGGTGATACTTTTTTTTTCAGCTAAGAGTAATCAAATGAATTACTTTTTCGATACTTTTTTTTCAGCTAAGAGTAATCAAATGAATTACTGTTTCAATACTTTTTTTTCAGCTAAGAGTAATCAAATGAATTACTGTTTCCCCTGTTAAACCGATGTTGTCGTTACTGACAATAAAATCCATGATACTATAATTGACAACACTGAAAGTTTTTTTTTATTTTTTATATATATATAAAAGCAGCATCTCTCAGGTCATCTCATTCTCTGGAGTGTGTGTGTGGGTTTGGTCTGTGACAGGACACATAACCAACCAGTGATGATGATTGGTGTGTTTGTAAATGTGGTGTAACTAAGAACATGATGATTGGCTTAGATAGTCCATTTTCATTGTTTGCCAATCAGAGGCAGAGTAGTGCTGGTGTTCACACACAAGCACACACAAAGTCATTCACACACATCAATGACCAGAGTCAGAATGATGGCAAATCCAACAAGTTCCAAGGTAGCCTTTGCAAACTGGAAATATAAGCGCTACTTTCCCCTCGTTGAGATGAAAACTAAGAATGTTTATGTATCATGAAACCTGCAGGGCATTTTTTTAATGTTACAGCCTTTTTCCAAAATAGATTAAATTCTTTTATTTCCTCTAAATTCTACACTCAATACCCCATAATGACAATGTGAAAAAAGATTTTTCGAAAATGTTGCAAATTTATGAAAAATAAAAAACTTGAAAAATCTGAATTTGATGCCACAAGCTTGGCACACCTGTCTTTGAGATTTTTTGCCTATCCCTTTTTGCAGTACCTCTCAAGCACCATCATGTCATCCCTCAATGAAGATTGGGTTTAGCGATGGAGTTTGACACGCGTCCTTTTTAAAATGTTGTAATATCGACTAATGAATTCGTAGGAATTAGCCACTAAAATGACAAAAAATAAAATAGTTACTTTTACCCGTGAGATCAGGCCAAATTCAAACTTTTATTAATATAAATGCAATACTAAAACAACACTGTTAAGAATACAAATGCACACAGAATTACAAAGCTACTCGCTACTAATAGTAATAACAGTTGATTGTTACTTTAATAAATGACTACAATAATAATATTAAAATGTTTGACAAGAATATCCTACATTTCTGCCATTTTATCGTATTTACAGTTAGTGTTACTTGTAAATCAATGGTTAATGTTGTTGATTTGTTTTTTGGAAACCTTCTAATCGAGTTGTCGTGACAATATTTTACAATATAACAATATTTCTCACATTTACTGTGTCTTTGCTTGTGAGAAATTCATCAATGTTTGATTTGCTTTAAACTAGTTGTAAATTGCAGGCATTTGTGGTTTGTGTCAGAAAACTATTTTAAATATATGTGTTCCTTATCAATATATGTTTTATTAAATGAGTCTGTACAAAAAAAAGGCATAGAAGCAAATTTTACTTTAACATTTCACAATTAATTACAAAAAAATCAGTCCATTTAAATTTGGTTGTATATTTGAGGCTGAAATGTTATTCTCATGCAAATGTGATTCATTAATCTGTATTACAGCTTTGAAATGCCCTACTGTAAATGCACTGAGTGAATGGTAGTTCATTTTTTAGCTCTAAATCTAAATTCTATTCACATTCAAGGCCCATTTTTATAGCACAGATTTCACATGGCCTGTGTAACGTGTACGTTCTCTTGTCTTTTTCTTTCTCCTCTTGTCCACAGCTGAGAGAGACGGACGCTAACCTGGGCAAGAGCTCTCGGATCCTGACCGGCATGCTGAGAAGGTAAGAGGAAGGTAGGGACCGTTTCTGATACCTCTTTATGGATGTGTTTGACAGCGGCCCTGCACCAACCACTGCATGAACACACATAATACACAAATGTAGTACAAATATTATAATACACTTAACATACACATTTAATTTTATGCACTGCGGTGGCATAGCATGGATCTAAATGGTGTTGTATTTAGTAATTCAGTAAAATAAAGTTTCCCCAAACATCCCAATTACTTACATTTAAACTTTAAGTGTTTTCAGTTTTTATCTATTCATATTTTGTTTCATTTGAAAGAGGAAAATGTGCTGATTTCTGAATTTATTGGAAAATATCTGTGATGTAGGATTTCCAGGCCTGATGATGCTCTCTATTAATTAGTTGTTTGCTATTTTGAGTGTAATGTCATAAAATGCTTAATTTGTATTTTATTTATTAATTTTTTATTTTTTTGCCAATTTTGATATTTGCAAACCACTGAAAATATCATGCAAATCCAAATGATCTGTGAGCTCTGCATATGAGTCCCAGTACAAATATATCTCAAAGTTTTAATTGATTATACACTTTCTTTTAGCTCTCTGATTCAGCAATTGGTGATAAAATTAAACTGCCTTTCTTTTGATGCTAAAAAGAAGCTGGTTGATGCAACATTTATGTCGATATTGGACTACGGTGATGTTATCTATATGCATGCTTCGTCTCAAAGTCTGAATGCATTGGATACTGTTTACCCTGGTGCACTGAGATTTATAACTAATTTTAAATCCCTAATTCATCATTGTTTGCTGTATACTAGCGTAGGTTGGTCTGCTTTGTCCATTCGTAGGCTCAAGCATTGGCATATCCTTGTTTACAAATCTACACTGGGTTTACTCCCATCATATCTACTGAATTAGATTTAAAAAAAAAAACTGTTCTTACCTATGGTCTTCAGTCACAGGATATTTATTTACTGTCTTTTCCTAAAGTGTGGACTGAGACAGGGAAATAAGTATGCAGCACCCTTTGCATGGAATAATCTGCAAACACAGTTGCAGTTCAAAGAATTGATTTCACTACATGCTTTTTAAAAGACTATAAAAGATTTAGAAGTTGAAACACAGGTTTGTAGATGTTTTGAGGAGTTTGTCAGTGTGCTTCATGTTAACTGTTAATTGTTATTTGTTTGTTGTCTGTTAGACCCATGTGACATGTATACTGCCTAATCTTGGCCAGGGCGCTCTTGTAAAATAGACTTTTAATCGCAATGTGTCTTTCCTGGTAAAACAAAGGTTATAATAATAATAATAATAATAATAATAATAATAATAATGATACTGTGCTCAACACGTTTTTTATATTATTAAAACATTTATTTATTTATTTATTTATTTATATATATATATATATATATATAATAATAATAATAATAATTATTATTATTATTATTATTATTATTATTATTAATAATTATAAATAAAAATAAATAAAAATTAATAATCTGTTATTTTTTGTATCTTATAAAGGCTGCATTTATTTATTTGTAAATGAATACAGTAAAATGATAATATTGTGTAATATAAGTACAGTTTTGATTAAATGTTTTTGATATTATTCCATTTTAAAATTTCATCAATTTCTATGCTTGAAATCATTCTGATTCAGTGCTCAAATAGCATTATTTATTTATTTAATGAATAATACTGGGTTCATACGGTCATGGAAAACCTGAAAGAGTCATGGAATTTTGACATGGCATCTTTCAGGCCTGGAAAAGTCTTGGAAAATCAGAAAAGCCCACAAAGTTTTAGAAAAGTCATGGAAAACAGATGTCTGTATTGAATATAGGTTAGTTGTCTTTACTTTTTATACTTTATATATATATATATATATATATATATATATATATATATATATATATATATATATATATATATATATATATATATATATATATATATATATATAGTAGCATTACTAATTAATTGGTGTCTCTTGCTGAACAAAATAATTAAACATTTTTAAAAATTTTTTTTTTTTATAATTATAACTTTATCAAGTTATATTTCTAGAACTGGTGAATTATCAAAACTGTAGAACACATTCTAGTGTGTGTGTGTGTGTGTGTGTGTGTGTGTGTGTGTGTGTGTGTGTGTGTGTGTGTGTGTGTGTGTGTGTGTGTGTGTGTGTGTGTGTGTGTGTGTGTGTGTGTGTGTGCTTGCAATTTACAATAATTTCACCTACATCTAACAGTTCAATTTAATGAATCACTCGGGCTCCTGCAGACACAGATTCCATCTGGGCCCAGTCATCATGCATTTGGGTTTATTTCAGCACTCGTCTGCCCTAAAGCAGATCTAGCGATCCTCCCACCATTCTGTCTCTATGTAGTATCGGCTTTAAACAGCACAACTCATCATTCATATCAGCAGGCTGATGAGATATTGGCTTTTTCCCCTGTGTGGTAGATGTGAGATAGCTAAAGCAATGCACAATCTCTCTCTCTCTTTCTCTTTTCCACTTACTGTTGTTTTCTCCACCAGCCTCATATCTCTCTTTTTCACTCTCTCTCTCTCTCTCTCTCTCTCTCCTTCACTATTCAGTTTAACGTCTGTCACATCTCTGTTTTATAAAGTGCCTTTGCACCCTTTCCTGAACCGTGACGACAAGGTTTTGTTTCTTTCCTTTTTTTTTCCTCTCCTTTTTTTTTTTTTTTTTTGATTAAGAGTAATATGTAAATGACACCAGCTAAATTTAAAACCCCGGGCCGGGAAGGAAGTGCCAATTGAAATAGATGCTTCAGTGGTCGTAGACAATCAGGACGAGAGGGGAAGGAGGAGAGCAAGACTGTAACCAATATTTCTGCATATGTCTCCATTTTGTCAAGTCTCATTAGAGGGTCCGCGGACGCCCCCGGTGTCACAGAAGCTGTCCAGAAATCATTCATCATCCTCTTCTCCTCCGTCTCTCCCTCTCTTATTCCATCCCGCCCCGCCGCTAAGTAAATAACACGCACTTATTTCAATATTATCATATTAATGTTAAAGTTCAGCTGTCACCTAATGGGAAGACTAAATCAGACGTAGCATTTAAGCAATGCAGTGCTGCAGCGAGGCAGACTCAAATCAGGATTTATGAGCTTTTTTCCACACGTCCCGTCTCTCTTCAGCCTTTCTGCATGAAGGCCCACCGCACCCCCTGTTTTTTCGTCTCGGCCCTGTAAAGACTTTCTCTTTTCTAGTTTACTCTCTCTCTCTTATTCTCTGTATCTCTTTCGAACCTCTTTTTCACTTTGAAAAAGAACAAATAAAGCGTTCCCTCGAATTAAATCTGCATTGCATCACAAAGACATTTTGTGACAGAAAAAGTAGCAAAGATCAAAGTTTTTTTATGTGTTTTTATCTTTATGAGTTTTGCTTGCTTTCATTTAATTTTGTGTTTGATTTGAGTTTTTACATTTGTTATTAATTTATTAGATATTACTATCACTGCTATTTGTATTCATTTAAATTTTAGCAACTAACCTAATATTTATGTTATATACAAGGGCTGCACAATATCCCTTTGACTGTTGCTCTGCCAAACGGTTGACCATGTTTTTACTGTTTTAAAAAAATGACTGTTGAAGTCATTTAAAGAATGACACAACCAGAATTATCGGTTTACAAAAAAATAAAAAAAAACATTATCCTCTTGCTCTAATACACTTGATTTTGGTTTTATTGTAAAAACAAGAATGCATGTTAAATGAAAATCTGAAATATTTTATGGCATACTTCAAAAAATAAAGATGATTTAGTATTCAAAAATGTTTTATTTTGAATATTTAAAATTCATATTTTCAGATTTTTAGTAGTATACAGTGTGTATTAATTCCGGTATACTTTTACCGGAATTAATTATCAAACCGACATATATACTATTTGGTAAAGGTTGATATTTTAGAAATTATTGGATGTGTTTAAAAAAAAAAAAAAAAAGCATCGAGTGTGTTAACTTGTGACCTTAGGAGTTAAGAAATGCAATCCAAAAATGTTTTTCTTGGTGGAGTAGTTGAAAGGGATATATAATTTTTGCATCGATATCACAATGTGCACATCTACAATAGTCACATCACAGGATCTGCAGTGTTCAGTTATGATTGTAGTTAACCATGAAATCATTTAGGACACTTGAGAATTGTGTAGTTAATGCAAAGTTTAAATAAAAGGGAGTGAGTTTTTAAGGTCAGATTTCTACAATATCCGGTTACCTATTATATACTATAATATACTGGTATATATAATACTTTTATAGAATTTTTTTTAAATAGTTCCTACTAGCTTTCATTAGTTATGATATTTAAATTAAAACGATTTGCTTAATTTACTGTATTTATGGATGTATATTTATATTTATGCATTTTAGATTGGCAATTTAGTTCAACAATTTTTAAAATGTATTAATTGTTGTGAATGTTAATAATGTGAATGTTAATAATAGTTAAATATGCTTTAACTTGTCTTAAATGTTTTTTTAGCAATGCATTAGAATTGTCATTAGTTTATATTTAAAAAAGCTTTATCAATATTTTCTTAATTATAAAATGTTTTTTAACAAATGATAATTTATTAAACTTAAATTTATTAACTTAAATGTAAGTTTAATAAATGTAAATCTTATTATAAAATGCTTGTTATTGTATTTAATTTCATTTTGTTTTTGTAATTTTATTTTATTTTATGTTTTATTTTATTTTACTTTTTATTAATTTTTTTGTATTTTATTTTATTTTGTTTTGTTTTTTATTTTGTTTTGTTTTATTTTTTATTGCATATTGTTTCGTTTTTTTTTTTTTTTCCCGATAGATTTGTTTTAAATAGATAACAAATAAGATGTACTATTTGGGTCCTTATTGAAAAAAAAATATAGAAAATGATTATGTATTCATTCTAGATCATATTCAAATCTTAAATTGTTTATTTAGATTTTTTAAATATAGATATGTTTTTTATTTAACAGCAGTTAGTAAACTAACAATGAAACCTACTATATTTG